TAGTATTGGCATATTTCGTAAATCTGGCATGAAATCTCGAATAGAAAAATTAAAAATACAAATTGAGTTGAATCCTAGTAAAATAGACTTAGATGGTTATTCTGCTTATGATGTTGCAGACATGTTAAAACAATTTTTTAGGGAATTGCCTGAACCGTTACTTACAACCAAGCTTTCTGATACATTTATTGCTATTCACAAGGGTATACATTTATTTGATTTTTTTTTATTTCTTTTTTTTTTAATTTTATTTTAAATTCTATTTTGAATGAATGTTTTTTCAGACATTCCAAGCGAACTTCGTTTACAGGCAATGCAACTAGCTGTGATACTTATGCCTGATGAAAATCGACATGTATTACAAACAATATTGTCATTTCTTAATGAAGTGGCTTCTTATTCAAGTGTTAACCAAATGAGTGAAGCTAATTTAGCCACATGCTTTGTACCTGCATTGTTTCACTTATGTGGAGGCGGAGCTTCAAAAAATGATAAAAATATAAATAATGCTCCTAAAAAAATGAGACGGTCTATCTCTCTACAATATCAAAAGGAATTAGATGATACTAGAGTAAGAGATATTTTCTAGAAATTCTTATTCTATAGATTTGTTATTGAATTGTATAATATTAGAAAATTCGAAATGCTGGCTCTAAATATTAAAATTTATTTAAAGTTTTTTTATTGTTGTAGGCAGCTCAAGAATGTCTAGCATGTATGATGAAGTGTGTAAATTTTTTATTTTGTGTAAGTGATCTACTCTTTTTTACTTTGTATTACTTAAAAAAGTCGCTTTTTGCATTAATTAGCCAAATAAAAATTTTCAATTGTTTAAACAAATAGGTACCTGATGATGTCATGATGAAATGTCGTTTTACTTACATTGAACAGGGGGAGCCTGTACCTTTAGAAAAACTAGGCCAAAATGGTGTTGATCCAGGTATTGATGATGACTATCGGCATCATATTGATACTTGCTTCTCTGATCTATTGCAGGTAAAAAAATTATAATAATATAAATGTTTGTTGTTAAACATTTTTAAACTTTAATATAACTCTATATGTTATTACGAAGGAAACAAGTGTAAACTCTCGATCAACAAAGTGGGATATTCATTCTGAATGTGATGAGATTACAATTTCGTATCGCAAAGTCAATGATGGATACCCATTGCGTGTTTGGCGTGCTGTCACAGAAGTTCAAGCTTCACCAGAAGAAATTTTAAAGCGAATAATAAAAGAAAGGTATTTTTATATATGTTTTTGTAATGAATATTATGCTTAATGAATATCTCAACACTCATATTTAAATTGTATTTCAGACATTTATGGGACGATGAGATTTTAGAATGGCAAGTTATAGACACTTTAGATGACTGCACAGACGTTTTTTACTATGAAACTCAATCAATTGCCCCTTCTGTTAAAAGAGACTTTGTTATTCTTCGATCATGGCGTTATAATCTTAATGGAGGTTCATGTGGTGTTGTTATGACATCAGTAAAACACAAAAATGAACCACCTACCTCTGGGGTTCGAGCAACATTACTTGCTTTTCGTTGTCTTATTGAACCAATCGGTTTAGGGCGATCTAGGTTGACTTCTATTTCAAGAATAGATTATAGGTAATTAAACTCAATAGTTTTTACTACACGTTTTATGTTACTTGTTTTGTACTCTCAGGTGTCAAATAAATGTGGTTTATTATAAATTAAGGATAGGAGCTTTTTAAAAATTATAATAAGCGAGGGAGTTAAAAAATATATATAAATTTTTTTTTACAAATAACGTCAAACCGTATTATGAAACAGATTTATAATAATTGTTTTATAAGAGTTCTACAAATAGTAATATATTGATGTTGAAATTGAAAATATTGATGATAAAAATAATTGTTTTTATCATCAATATTTATATTGTATTTTTAAAATGAAAAATATTATACATATTGATAATAAAGCATTTTTGGAAAATGGGCAAAAAAAAAAGCTACAGAATTAATAGCTGGAGGAGGGGAAGTTCAAAGCAAAATGAATTCGAGATAAGGCGTTTATTAGGCACCTTAGACTAGTTATTTAGCTAATTAGCTGGCAAAATAGGCTTCCACTTTAAATTAATGTTGTTGTTTTTTTATGTTATAGGGGAACAAGTTCTAGATACTACAATAAAGTTGTTTCTCCAAGAGTAATGTCCTCAGGAGTTAGAAAAATCCGCGACTCCTTTAATTGTGGTCCAGATGGCCCTGAAACAAATGTATGACTATTACATTCAATTAGTCTCTAGTAAAAAAAGTAATGAATATGAAATAAATGCAAAAAATTTTAGCCCTATGGAGGGTTATTTGGAAGTAGCTTTGGACAGATAGCACCCTATAGAAATAGTGATATGGAGAGATAGTGAAATGTAGCTATGGATCATCCAATTTGTATGTTCTGACAGTTTATGTATCAAATTTTGTAAATATGTATAAAGACTTAAATTATACTCGTAATTTTAAAAATTGTTTTTACTTGACAATTTTACACACGCTCTGTGATGTTTACCTCATTTGCCTTATTTTCTTGCGTTCTTTTATTTATTTATTTTCTTTTTATTATAGTTAGTATTAGAGTTTTAAAGAAATTTTTATATTAGTTTTTAAAATCATAGTGTTTTTAAAAATTTAAAAGTGCATGTAATTTTATGTTGGATTATTGTCATACCCGGTACTTTGATATCAAAATGTACAAATACCATGATAAATTTGATTTTTTGGTTTGTTTTTTGAAAGATGCATAGTTGAACTTTTTTGTTAAAAGCATTGCATCACTGTAATAATAAAATTTAGATTTTATTAAATATCCGTGCACTTTTCAGTGATTTATACTTATTCTCTTAACAATGGCAATTTTGATTCCTTTAAATACTCAAAATCTGTATCAATTTATGTGCTATTGATATTACGCACAAACGAAATCAAATATCAATGTTTTTTTATTTCTTAAAAAAGCATTGATATTTGATTTCTTTTGGTTGTTTGTTTTTTTTTAATCAAAAAAAAAAAGTTAATTTTATAAAAATTTTTAGTCGCAAGCTTTAAAATTAATTTTTTAAAAAATTATTTCAAATCAACGCAAACTCACCATCAAAAATAGACATTTAGTTAAGCATTTATTTTATAACTATGCATTTATTTTTGTCGTAATATATATAAATACATTACTATATACTAAAATAGATCATATACTAAATAAACAAATATATGACGTAGTATATGCTAAACAATATCAAAAATTTTTTTCAAAGTAAAAAAATTCTTATCATAGTTAAAGTAAATAACGTAAAATTCATTCGAATATATTTAATAGTTTAATATTTTTGTTATTTTAAATATTTTTAAAAGTATAGTTAGTATTTTTAACTTCAACAATTTATCTACTCTATATGTTATTACGAAGGAAACAACTGTAAACTCTCAGTCAACAAAGTAGGATATAATGCGGCCAGCAAATGGAAAAAATCAAAAAGCATTTTACACATATTTTTAATAGTAACAACCTAATTATATCTATCCAATGTAATATTAAAATTGTCAGTTATCTTTAGGGCTGTACCGGATTTCGGCTCCGGCTCCTGCTCCGGCCGAAATCCGGCCATTTTTACAAATCCGGCAAAAATTTAGCAAATCCGGCATAATGTTAGCCGGAGTTTTGAATTTTGTCAAATATTTATTACATTTTTTTTGCCCGTGTTTACATGTATACCTAATATTTTATTTATAAAAATCAATTTTTTTTGTAATTCTATATTTTATGAACCTCATATTTGTTTTGGTTTTTGTATTTGTATTGTACTTTATAATTTAATAAGCTTAGCCTAATTTCAAACAACAACGCAACAAAAAATTCTGAAGGGAAGACACACGATATTCTACAATGATGCAGGTATAAAGATTATGATGTCAACCCTAATCAAGTGATTGGATGAGCGTTTTAAAAGCATTGAAAAAAGAAACCTCTTTATATACTGACGAGGCTGGTTGACTCACAATTTAAAACTAAATTCTCCTCATTACAGGCAACACTGGCAGCTGAAAAAACAAGATTGAAGTCAATCTGAGTATGCTGAACAGAAAATTGACAAAACTGAAGAAAATCCACCAAAATAAGCCGGGCTTAATAATTTTTCTACATCATCATCATCATTACTCTGGCAATTTATTGATAAAATTATTCAGTCTACGTCCGCTGGTGGCAGGGCACATAAACAACAATTACTAAAAGGCATTAAAACTCAACTAAGGAAATATCCGAAAGAACCAGAAATAAATAGACACAATGATCCACTACAGTGGCGGAGTGACAAAATCCCGGAAAAAAAGTTCAACAGAATTACTATAAACTTTTAAAACATATGGCCTATAGAATTTCTTTAGAATTTCTATTAATTTATATATAGAAATTGCTATAAAACTTTTTAAATAACAACAATGAAGTTTAACAGAAAACAGCAGTCACTTGGTATTCTGAATAGTCCACATTGTTGACCATGCTCAACACCAAGTAGGGATGTACAGGATTTTGGCTCCTGTAGTTTTGTTTTGAAATCCGGCTCCGGCTCCGATTCCGGCCGGATCTGTCAGTAGAAATCCGGCAAATCCGGCTTCGGCCGGATTTGAAAAAATTAAATCCGGTACAGCCCTAGTTATCTTGATGTAACATTGAACCTGATTGACAGTTCTTATCAACCGTATTGTAAACCTAATAACCAACTTATGTATGTTCATTCAGAGTCAAACCATCCACCTAATATAATATAAGAAATCCCTCGCACTATTGAGTTAAGATTAATTAAATGAAACTGTGTTCAATAATTCAATTCTTCCGTATGAAGAGGCTTTACGTAAATCAGGATACAGTTCAAAACTCACCTACCAACCGCAAATAAACAAAAATCAAAAAAGACATCGCAAACGTAAAATTATATGGTACAACCCCCCGTTTAGCAAAAATGTTGAAACCAAAATTGGAAATTGCTTTTTAGCTTTAATTGACCAACACTTTCCAGTAGGACACAGGCTTCATAAAATTTTTAATCGAAACTATATTAAAGTTAGCTATAGTTGCATGCCTAATGTCAAGTCTTTAATAAATGCACATAATAACAAAATTTTACATAGGGATAAAAATAAAACATCGAAAAAATGTAACTGCATAGACAAAAATATTTGTACGTTAAATAACCAATGCCTTTTTAGCAATATCGTATATCAAGCCACTGTAAGTTCTGGTGATCCTCAATGCAAAGATAAAGTTTATTTCGGTATAAGTGAAACCACATTTAAATTAAGATATGGCAACCATCTTAATTCTTTCAATGCACCCAAATATAAAAATGACACTGAACTTTCCAAAGAAATATGGGAGCTAAAATCGAAACATATAAATAATGTGATTACATGGAAGATAATAGCACAATGTAAGCCCTACAATCAAGCATCAAAAGTTTGTAATCTTTGTCTCCGCGAGAAGTTTCACATATTATTATATAAAGGAGAAAACTTACTTAATAAAAGATATGAAATTGTTTTTAAATTATTTTGTTTTGTTTTGTTTGGTAACGTCAGAACTCGTTCCACCATAATTTTAATTTGTAATTTTTAAACGGTTTTTAAGTGACGAAATACACAATGGCTGATGGTTGCCGAAAGACATGAAACTCAGAGTTCCATTAAAAGTTGTTTTTATTCATTTAATTAAATAAATAAATATTGCTCTATTATTTAATAGTATTGAGCACTCTTAAACGCACAAGAGTATTTGTATTATTATTATTATACCATAATAATACATTTCTATTTTGTATATATATATATATATATATATATATATATATATATATATATATATATATATATATATATATATATATATATATACAGTCACGGACAAAATTAAGTAACATTATTGATAAAATCGAAACTCGAACAATAAAAACAAAATTATTTAAGTCAGGATCTACGCAACTGCAATAACTTTATGTTTTTTTAAAAATTTGATTCCAAAGAAAAAAAAAAAATATTTTTAACTCTTTATAACTCACTGCAAAAATAACTCTATTAAACGAAATTAGCTATCTTACAACTTTTTTGTCTAAAATAAATGCGACATAAGTAAGAAACATCTTTTTTTATTATGAAATATAATGTTTTGTCAGTAATATATATTAAAAATTCAAGAATATCATGTCTGATTTTCATTTTATTACTTTGTTGCACCACCTTTTGCTTTCACGACTGCTTCTAAATGTCTTGGCATGCTTTTTACAAGCTTTGACGTGACGTCAGTACCAATTGAATTCCAAGTTTCACTTGGAATTCAATTTGAAAAAAATTTGTGAGATAGCTAATTTTGTTTAATAGATTAACTTTTGCAAGGAATTATAAAAAGTTATAAATGTATTTATTTTTCTTAGGAATCAAATTTAAAAAAAAACATAAAACTATTGCAGTTATGTAGATCTTGACGTAAATAATTTTGTTTGTATTGTTAGAGTATCAATTTTATCAACAATGTTACTTAATTTTGTCATGACTGTATATATATATATATATATATATATATATATATATATATATATATATATATATATATATATATATATATATATATATATATATATATATATATATATATATATATATATATATATATATATATATATATATATATATATATATATATATATATATATATATATATATATTTTTGTTCTTTTTATTTATTCAAAATAAGTTTTACAATATAAGAATGAATAAAATACGTATAGTCAGAATTACAATTTTGTTAACGTTACAACAAGAACGCGGATACTCGCAGAAGATCATAAGATCTTGTCATCGAGAACCGCCTAAACAGTTTTTAAATAATAAATAATCCTTTAATAATTCATAGACAAATATTTACACATAAATACAAATATAATTATTTATACATATTTAAACATACAAACATGTAAATAAATATACTTACACATCAATATATATATATATACACATACATATAATACGCACAAATACACATACATATATACGTACATACATAAATATACATACACACATACATATATATATATACATATATCCATATATCCATATATACATATATATATATATACATACATACATACATATACACATATATACATACACATATACACACACACACACATATACATATACATACATATATATATAAGTTAAGATAAAAGATTTCGTATATATAAATTACAATAAAATATTTCTTAAGAGTATTAATAAAAAACAAAACAAACTTAAAAATATATCAGAATGTTTTCAACTGAGAAAAGAATTTCTTTTAATTTTCTTTTAAATAAGAAAAAGTTCCATTCAAGAGAGAGATCAAAAAGTTTTAACACTATTTTGTTCCATAAAAATGCTCCTCTAAATGAAATACAAAATTTACCAAAATTAGTTTTGAAAACTGGTTGAAGAATAAAATT